ACACTTTGTTGCAAACAATTTGGAGTAATGGAAGTGGCAATAGATATTGCTTTCGTGCTCGTAGTAGCTTTCCTCTGAGTCAAAGACCTTACCACACTCTGAGCATTTAAAGTGTTCCACATGATACTTGTTGCCCAAGGCAGTAATATATGGTCCTCTTAATGCACTGTTGCAGTTATGACAGATTAAATCAAGCTTCTTGAAGTAGTCGTACTCGCAAAGCGGGACTTGGGAGACAGAGCCGTCCGGCAGCGTGATGTCTTGAGGAAAGAATTTAGAGGAGCATTGCTGGCCACACTCGTGGCAAGTAAAGCACTCGACGTGGTAAGCATTATTGAGTGCTCTGACGAACTGGCCTGCTATCTGTTGGTCACAGACCTTACAGATTTTACGCTTCCTCGGCGTCAGACGAGACTCATGAGGAGCATGTTGGAGTTGCAGTTGCAGCAGCTGCTTTCTACTTAATGAAAGGTCCTGTGGCTGCCCAAGATTTTGCGTGGGAGATGATGAAGAATGTAGGCTGTTTGGGGTCAATTGACGACGTGGTGCTGAAGGTGTAATGGGAGGCTGGAAAGCCGGGGGATTGCTCTGTGAGTGCATACCATTTGAAAGTCTGTGGTTCTGGACATTTCTTGATCGACTCGTTTCAGGCGGTAGGGATGAGTTTTGATGTGGGGTGAAGTCGAATTCTTCCGACACAGGTCTTTGTTTGGATGTGAGGAACGGCAGCTGCTGGCTATGGAGGCCCGGTTTCTGCATCTGAGGATGCGTTTGGGGATGTCTAATGGGGGGAATATCGTTGGAAAGTGTGTTTGGAGGAAGCAGGTTGGAAAGGGCATGCGGCGGGGTCCTGGCGAGGTCTGAGCTGCGGTGGGCTTTTTCCTTTCTGAAGGGGTTTCTGTTTTCTTTCACCAGCCCCAGGGAACTTGTGCGAGAATTCAGCGCAGGCATCTTGGGGAAGTCGTATTCCCGTTCTCTGTCCAGTTCTGGGTTGGGCAGCGGCTGAAGCATGTCTGGGATGTTTTTGGAGGATATGGGAGAAATGGCGATCGAGTGACGTTGTGGCGGGGCGGCCAAGTCGCCCAGGACAAACGAATCGGAGCTGTTGTTTCTGGAAGTGCTGGGGAGTGGGGGGATCAAGCTTGTCCATTCCAGGGACGTTTGGACGTTCTTGGACTGGAATGCCTCGTGACTTAGCGATCTGGCGTGGTGGGGAGGCAATTTGCCGTTGCTGTTACCGTTGACGTGGTTGCCGTTGGCGGGAAACTGGGAAGGGGACTTGGAGAACAGGCGTAAAGGCAGCAGGGTGAGGCCTTTTAGAAACCGCTTGGGGCTATGGGGGTACTCTGTCTGCCTGTTTTCGCTGTGGCGCATATTAAAGAGTGACTGGGGTTAGGCAGAATGGAGGGAGCTTTGAATGTGGGATTATATTTTGTAGGTGGGATTTAATTATTGGGACATGTATTAGGGAGTGGTAGAAAAAGTCTCAGTCGCAGTGTTTTGGTCTGAGCACTAGACACGAAAGCGAGAAAAAAATCCTGTGCGGGAGGGAGGAATGAGACACTGAGATGGAGCGACAATGGGTGGGGACTATTGTGGGAGGCAGCCAGATTTGATGGGTAGAAGGGAAAAAGCGAAAGAAGTGGGTTTATGATACTAAACTACAAGAAGAAAATGAGTTCTAAATTTTACAGAAGAAGCATATTTGCCTTGGATACCCAGAAACGGAATCCATCAACTATCCTGTTCTGCGTTTGGTTGCAACTGGTGGTGCGCACCGGCACAATAAGCACTAAAAGCCAGCCACGACGCGTGGAGGAGGAGAGCATTTATAGACGTGTTGGAGGAAAGTCAGGGGCTTGTGTAGACGACAATACAAAAAGAAATAAGATCCGGAATCCACCAGGCCTTTGCGGTTCTCGTGTGGTGACAGCCTGAGGGCCTGCGTTAGGCTGCGTTAGACTCGCTCGCTTCGCATTGCAGCCATATGAAAATGTTTTTTTGTGCGTGTTTCCTGGTTTCCCTTATAGGCAAATAAGCAGGGACTCTGCCGCATGTTAGGCGCCGAGGCCTGTCGGGTATTAGGGGCAGCTTACAAAAAAAAAAAAAAAGGCAAAACTTAATTCAATACCAAATTTTCACTTTGACCAGCTTGGACTCGCGGAATTTGTTTTGCTTCAACGCCGATCGCGACGCAGTGCAGCCAACGGCATTCGTGGTGCCACTTCGACAATAAACCCAGTACACGGTTCGTGAGAAGGCATTGTCGTTCCAACACAAAATCGACACACATTGTTTCGCAAAGACGAAAATAAGGAAGAGAACAAAAATAAACACCCAGCGAAAGACGTTGCTGACCGAGGGTCTCGGGATTCCTTGACCTTTTCGATTTGGCTTTCTCGATTTGGTAGCATTTTCGTGTTCTGCCGCTGGATGCCTTTTGCAGCCGCGGAATCAGCGTTAGCATAAGGTTTCGACTACGCCATTGGCCCAAAACACAAAATTGCAAAAAGTTTCGGCAAAGTCTCAATTCCTCGTTTACAGCGCTTGCCCGTTGTCAACGGCCAACGGCCTTGTGTTTTCTCGCTTGAGGCGCCGCAGTCCCTTTTGAGAAGGCTGATCCCAGCCTTGGCTCACCAGTATTTCCGGCCCGGTGATTGGCGACGCCGCAGTGGAACATTGCAATGGGATCTTTGGGATGTAGTTTTTTTTTGAATTGATAGGGGCTGATTTTATTTTTTTGACAGTGGCTGATTCGGTTTTTTACGGTGGCTTGGGGACATTACGAGGTGAAACTGGGCTGGGAATGTCAGAACGGAAATTAGTGGCGGCGCAGAAAGTGGCACTTTTTCTGGCCTCGGTGCAACATGGACTCGGTTTTTCTCGTCAGAGGCCATTGTGAGCCTCACCAGTGTTGCACCACCATCGGGTTTATAAAAAGAGCCCGCCCAGCAGAGGTTGCACGGGGGTTGAAGGGTGGTTTTTTTAAAGCATTTTATATTTTTTGTCAATGCGTTTACGCCAGTAGCGGGCATGGTATTTGGATATTATGTGGCCTATGTGTTTTGGTGGATGCTCTTAGTCGCAGTGTATCCATCGCGATCAGACACCCTCAGGTCTAGCATTTCAGCACCACCAACAAAAACACCCTAACTCTTAATTCATTAGTCCTAGGTTCATTAATCCCGCTCTGAGGCTACCACTTTACCATTTTCTCTCAACCTCTCACTTGAAGTGGTTGCAAATTCTCACTGCTGTGGTGGTTGCAAAATATTAGTGGATCACCAGACTCTTGACATGTCCCATCTCTGCTCGCTTCTAGGCTGCACATGGAGCTGACTCACGAGATAGCTCCCGCCCCTGAAGACTCTTTTTGATTGCTTTTGTTATCTTGATGCCCAATCTATCACCAGAGACCAATGGGCGGCAGTAGCGAGATCTTCCGCAATGTGGCGCCACGGCAATGTACCTCCGGATAGTCTGATACCAAGGTCTACTCAAGTTGGAAGTCGTTGATTTGAAGTAAAAAAAATCCTTTCAATTATCTGAACACGTGAAGCTAATTTTTTTTTGATGCTGGTCTCCAATGGCTTCCAATTGGCGTTGTTTGCGTGGTCAATTGACCCTGGAGGCTGATTCTCGCTTGCAGCATAAGCGAATATCACCAGACGGAACATCTCACGATAGGCCCAAAGTTTCTTTTCTGTTGCTGCGGTTTGGTGACTCCCGAGTCAGACGTCCTTCTGTGCATCTCGGAAAAACTCGGCCGTTTTCGTCCTTAATATTTATCCAACTATATAAGCACCCTTTCTTCCATGGACTTGTTGAATATCCACAATGTTCGCCCTTGCCCTTAGATCCGCTACTGCTACAACGCCAATGTCTTTCTTCACGCCTCACGCCTCAAAGTTAATCATCAGCGGAGTTTGCTCGATATTTGCAAGTATGCAAATGGCAGCTTTGGCTGAAAAGAAGAACCAGGGCACCTTGGTGAGACTGCTCGGTCGTTACTAATTCTCCATGCTACAAATAGAAGTTGCAATGCGTTGCAATGCATCTTGTAGCGATGCCATTCAATTCGGCACACTAATACATTTGGGTTCACGGTTGTTATAGATTAATATAAGTTATTTCGTTTCTCTATCTCGTAGTGTCATTGGTCGTCTCACATTTTCTCCTGGGTGTATCTTTTCGTCGTTCCAAAAAGCATTTCACGGCTCTGGCGGCATACATCCACAAGGATGGGTTTACGGGGTAAAAAGTTAGGGAACACAATCTTGATGCCATTCTCTTCCGACCCGCTTCTATGTTTAGGCAGCGTCAACACGCACATGTAGAAGATCACCTGCGCAAATCCGTAGAAGCCTTCGTGTATCACGATATCTATCGTATCGGACAACGGGATGAACTCCTTCTTTGTGAAGCCCCACATGTCCCGACTGCTGAGCTGAATGCCGACATCCTTGATGACCATAATGCTATCCTGGGGCTCTTGAAGCGATATGAGGGCTGTTATAATACATGAAAGCACCACGATGAACGTGATGAGGCATAACTTTCTCACGGCACCGTCGGAAAGCGATTGAAGAACAGGAACACCCCGAACATTGTAATCCACTTCAGCAAGAAATATTTCCAACAGCGGGATATATATATCAACCATTTCGAACACGTAGTCGGCCTCAGCGGCAAGCCGTAGAATGGTCAGCACTAACGTGCCACACAAAATGGCAACAAGGGGCACTTTCCAGAAGCGAATGAAATGTGAAGGGATGTTCAGCACCGTGTAGGTTGCCAAATTGCCGTTATCCACCAGCGTGATATCCAATTTGAAGTCTTTCAGGGAAGACATGCTAGTTGCTTTGGAATAACCTTTGGAGAGACATGAAATGGAACGGTACCGATTCGGAGATGATAGCGATGCCGCACTCAGCTTTCTCAAATGTACGAGCGCTACATGCACTCCGCTCCAAATTAGTAAACCCACCATGCGATTGTACTTAATTCTCTCCTTTAAGAGCTCTGGTTGGCTTTTTAGAATCATCCACTGTACCAAGAACGACCTCGTTCTTTCTCAACTCTCTCTCTCTTTCGGCTCTGGTCATGATTCTAGAACCGGTTCTGATCTCCATCTCTCTCTTTCTACTGGCCTCCAAGTCCTCCTTGATAGCTCTCTCACGCTCGCTCTGGATCTCGTTCAAATGCGTCTCATGGTCCTTTCTGAGCTTCTCAATCTCATCCTTCACTTCCTTCAAGGACTTGAAGTTCTTACCATCAGCAGCAGCAGCACAGTATGCATCGAGGTCAGCTGGAAGCTGTCTTTTTAGAGCCAACTCCACAAGCTCTGGGCGCTTCTTTTCTTCTAGAGTGAACTTCCGCTTGATTTGTCTTCTGTTTCTGTAAGGAAAGAGCTGAGCAATAAACGTAAAGTCAGTACCCCACGTGCTCAAGGCATTGTAGAATTGGACAAGCTCGTCTGTCGTCCAAGCATCTGTGTAAGCCAGCTTCGTGTAGGAGTTGGAGGTAATCGGATTCAAGTATGAATTGTCGACCTCGACCTGACGATCACCCTTTTCAGCCGCTTGATTGTTGGATTTGACAATAGATTCGGCATCAAGCGTAATTTTATCTCCAGAGATTCCCATCTTTAAATTGCTAGGTGTCGGTTGTTCCTGCTCCTTGGGTTTCTCCTTATCACTTTGCTTCTTGCTTAGTTCATTGTCCTCCTGCTGGATCTCCTCTAGAGCCTTATCGTAACTAATACGCTTTTCCCTCGCTCTGATACGAGCTTTGCGCCGTGTTTTTTTGTCCTTTTCTAACTTGCCTCTAGCATGCTCGGCGTCATGGAAATTGCCACTCACAGAACCAATCTTAAGCGTCGGCTTGCAAAGCTCTTTCACTGTCAAATCGTCAGCCAGAACCGTGAGCTTGGCATACAAAGCCTCATCCTCAACATCAATCTTTCTCGGAAGCTGTCTAATATCCTTAACTGTTGTTATGAGGTCAGGAGGAGCGACACTAAGGGGCCCTGGGACACCCGCATGAGCTTTGTACTTCTCGACTCTATTAGTGACTGGGTTGATACCGACAACAAAGTCTGGACCCAGCATTCTCGACTCTCCATTCTTTGCGTCATCTCTGGCGGCTGTGCTTGTGTTCTCGTCTTCTTCAACCAAGGTCTGGTCAGGAGCAGCTACAGAAGATCTCAGCCTCTTGGAGGGCCTCGATGTCGACAGCTTGCTCCTTTTCGTTTTCAATGGTTTTGCAGTAGGAATACCAATGATTTGGACAGGAGCAGCCTGTGCGTCGTCGCCATCTGGTGCCACAGAGCCTGGAGTGGATACAGATCCTGATCTATTGAAGATACCGGACAATCTTCTGGAAGCAACGGAAGATCTTCTTCTCTGAGATTTTTGAATTTCTTCCTTTTCTGCTAGCGTTTTCTTGAAATAGTCATTGTCATCGTCTTCATGGGCATCGCTTCCCTCATCCTCAATGACCTCCTCATTGGTAACCTTCGAAGTATCTTTGGGATCCACGATTTCAGCGTCTTCGGTATTTTCGTCAGGAGTCTTCTCACTAGGAGCTGCAATTTCATACTTTGATAAATCCGTAAGGCCACCAGTGGCCTGCGTAGTTGGAGGTGTAGAAATCGAAGCCTCATCTGGCTGCGTTATCTGTGTTGGATCAGGAGAAGCATGTGACTCCTGGGTTGTGGGGGGTGTGGGTTGAGCTGCCTTATTATTTCTGGTGACCCTCTTCTTAACTTTTGGGGCGAAGTGTGAGGACTTCTTAACAATACTACTCATCTTGTGGGATAGTGATGTTGCTTGTGATTGATAATGAGGGTAAACATCGAGCTTGATAGACAGATATGCAGGAAACTTCATGGGGCAGTATTGATGTCTTAGAACCATTTATGGTAAGTGGAAGACAATGTACATAGGAACACACATATTAGTACTTCAAAGCTGACTGGAAACATTTGTAAAACTTGATGTGTGTTCTAGGACCAGCAGCTCTCAGTTGCCGCCCGAAGGAAGTGTGCTCATAAGAGGATAGCACTTTTAAAATCTCGAAGGATATCAAATAGCCCAATGAAAGACCAGGAAATGCAGTGATTTGAATTTTGTTGTTATTAGAGGTTGTGGTGATGTCATGCTATGGTTTCAAAAGAGAGGTTTTGATACTTTTCGCAGCCAATTAGTGACACCCATATACAATCTTCTCTTCAAAAGACTCTTTATCAAAATGGAGGTGCAACATTAGAGCTCATATTCAGTCTTAAATAGTGAATATGGAATATAAGTGTTTTTGTCACGACACACCGTTCCCACTCTTTGTTGATAGCTGCGATGCCATCACCGAGATGCCATTTTCAAACTTAAGATTGAATCACAATCTAAACGACTTATCTTCCCCATCGAACGAAACAACCATTCCTTTCACAAAATTACCGTTCACAAAAAATCCCCGTCTCCCCCATCTCTATCACCCCAAAAGCACCTCCTCTACATGTGCGCGAAGAGCATCTCACATCTACTCCAACATGAACGCTAAAGAGGTGTTTGCATGGCGTGCTCAGGAAGACACATGGGTGCTTCAGCTTCTACACTTTCCTGAGATTTCCGGAGGCTCATTTGTTGCATCCACCAGTTCCGGTGGTTTGGCGCTTTTCTCCACTGCTTCCTTCAACCAGGCTCCAATCTACACCAACGAAAAGGCCCACGAATCCAGCATAAACAGCATAGCCAAGGTCAATGAGTCCGTTTTTGTATCTGCTTCTACAGACGGCCTCAAGGTGTGGGACTTGAGTAATGGTCTTCAAAAGCCAGTAGCTTCATTCACCAACTCGAAAAGCTCAAACTTCCTTTCAGTGGCTGCCTCTCCAGACGGCCAGCTTGTGGCAGGAGGCACGGAGCTTGCTGGTGTTGACGCTGAATTGCATATTTGGAATTGGCAGAGCCAGAAATTGGTCAAGCTGCTTGTCGACTCTCATCACGATGACATCACAGATATCAAGTTCCACCCTACATTGACGCAGTACTTGATGTCAGGCTCGACTGACGGCTACGTCAATGTGTATGATTTGAGAGAGGAGGATGAAGAAGAGGCGCTCCACCAGGTCATCAACTTCAATTCCGTTCACACATGCAACTTCATCAGGGAAAGACGTATTCTGGTGCTTTCTCACATGGAAACGCTACTTTTCAGCGAGCTCAACAATGTCGACTACGAAAACCCCGAGGAGCCCTTGCCCAAGGATGTAGGTGATCTAAGGGTATGGCCCCATTGTGAGTATGTCGTGGAAGTGAGTCCACTTGGCTACGCCGCTTTTGGCGCTAATCTGGAGCAATCGCTTCTGGTGATGCCGTTCGACAGTCAAAGCGAAGAATTCGACAAAACACAAATTGTCAGTTTCCCAGGCGCCCACGGTGAAGAGGTGGTAAGAGACGTTTTGCTCGTTCCCCGGAGCAAGTTGGTTATCACCTGTGGAGAGGACGGCGTGATAAAGGCATGGGAACTTCCCGTCGAGCTCCAGGGCGTCAACGTCGTCAAGGGAGGTAAGACAGAGGTGAAGGAAAAGAAAAAGAAGGACAAAAAGGACAAAAAAGAGAAGAAGGAAAAGAAGGATAAGAAGGACAAGAAGGACAAGAAGAAGAAGGACAAGCGTGGGAAGGATGCGCGGTTCAAGCCCTACTAAGCTGCACTGCCGCGGAAGGGAATTAGTGTCGGGCAGCTGAAAAGTGAAAGGCAAGTTCCCTCAAATATTTCAGAAATCAGACTGCCCCTGAATTTTCCTCTCCGACAGCAACATAACCCCCAGGATCTCAATTAAAGGATCAGGCTGGCTTTTGGGGCTCAGGCGTTGCTGCAGAACATGCGCATGTCCTTGCAGCCGCCTCGCTTCGGGTTCTGGGCAGGCAGAGTTCCACGGTATCAAGGCACCAAAAATCGCCTGAAAGCCCCTATCGGATATCCAAATCATAGACAAGCGGAAATTGTAGAATAGACCACTGTGCCACCTGGCCCACCAGAACGCTCTCGGAGAGGCCCATTTAGTCGTTGGAATGCGTTTGTTCCTGCACATGCTGCCGATACCCACACACTCTTGACATGTACTGCAATTGCAAAAACCAACTTGTTTTCACCAGTCTCTTCTGCCCCTCACCCCAAGAACCCTATATATACTATGAACACAGAGGAGTCCCGGAAACGGCCTTTGGAGGAGGGCGACCAGACCGGACCGCCAGGCCCCGAGACCCTGGAAATTCCCCAGACTTCGGCGTCCCCAGAAACGGCTTCTCAGCCTGAACCAAAAGACCAAGATATGGACGTTGATGTGGCAAACGTGAAACCTGAAATCAAGGAGGAGCCCCTTCCCGAGGATAACGGCACTGTGGCTGCCGCCCCTGTCAAGGAAGAGCCCCCAACGCCGGCTACCAGTACTTCTGAACCCAACGGTACTGAAGCAGGCCCCGAAAACGGCACCAAACGCTTCAAGCTGGACACACTCGTTGTGGTGCCCCACAAAACGCCCCAGCTTTTCTACACGTTGCTCAAGACGGGGCTCGTCTACGATGTGAGAATGAGGTACCACGCCAAGATCTTTACGTCGTACTTCGAGTACATCGACCCCCACCCCGAAGATCCTCGTCGAATCTACCGTATTTACAAGAAGCTCGCAGAGGCGGGTCTCATTCAGGACACGTCGCTTTCTGGCTCTGAGGAGCTTGGTCCGCTCATGGAGAAAATCCCCGTCAGAGAGGCCCGAGCCGAGGAGATCTTGGAAGTGCATTCCGCCGAACACTTGAAGTACATCTCGCTGACTGAGGAGATGACCAGAGACCAGCTTCTTGAGGAAACGGAAAAGGGCGATTCCATCTACGTCAATAACGACTCGTACCTCCTGGCCAAACTCTCGTGTGGTGGCTCCATCGAGGCATGCAAGGCTGTGGTGGAAGGCAAAGTCAAGAACTCCTTGGCCATTGTACGCCCGCCAGGCCATCACGCCGAACCCGATACTCCGGGCGGATTCTGTCTTTTCAGTAACGTTGCAGTTGCGGCTAAAAACATCTTGAAATCTTACCCTGAATCCGTGCGCCGTATCGTTATTCTTGACTGGGATATTCACCACGGAAACGGCACCCAGAAAGCTTTTTACAACGACCCTCGTGTCTTATACATTTCCCTCCATCGTTACGAAAACGGTAAGTTTTATCCTGGCACAAAGTACGGTGGTGCCGATAAAGTGGGAGAAGGCGAAGGTGAGGGCTACTCTGTGAACATCCCCTGGAGTGGTCCAGGTGTGGGCGACGGAGATTACGTCTACGCTTTCCGCAGAATCGTCATGCCTATAATCAGTGAATTTGATCCTGACCTCACTATTGTCAGTGCCGGATTCGATGCTGCCGACGGTGACTTGATTGGTCAGTGTCACGTCAGCCCGGCTGGTTACGGTCATATGACACACATGTTGAAGGCTGTTGCCAGAGGCAAACTTGCTGTGATTTTAGAAGGTGGGTACAGTTTAGACTCGATCAGTGAAAGTGCCTTGGGCGTGGCTAAAGTGCTTATAGGTGAACCTCCTGAAGCTACCATCACCTCCCAACCCCGCTTGGAGACACTTGAGGTGGTCAATGAGGTCATCAGAACACAGAGCAAGTACTGGAAGTGCATGAAGCCTGGAAACTCGGCTCATGTCTTTGAGGACGTCTACGACTTGTCCACCGACAATCTTCTTTCCTTCGCTGAACCCATCAGAGCTTACCAGGCTCAACAACTTTTCTCCAACCACTCATTTATCAGTCTTCCTATCATCGACCATCCAGAGTACAAGATCTCCACATTCAGCACCGATCTCCCTCCTCACATGGAAGATCTCGTTTTGGCAAGTCCTCAAGTGCAAAAGCACTCCACCATCATTGTCTCCATCCACGACCCACCTGAGGTCTGGGCTAATATCAACCCTATCAACGGGAACATCGAGAGCAGCACATCTGTGGTGCTTGAGCACCCATTGACCCGTGTAATGAAGAAAGTCCACTCTGAACTTTCAAATGACGGTGGCTCACCAGACGATGTTGGATACATCGACATAAATATTCCTTCTTATACTGAGGCTGTTGCTTCATCCTCCTCGAAGGAGGGCTCTGTTGAGAAAACATCTTCACCGGTGAAGAGCTCTAATTACAACCCAACGATCTTTGCTCAAGAGCTCCTTCTTTGGGTGTGGGACAACTACTTGACCTACTTCCCAGAACTCAAAAAGGTGGTGTTCGTTGGCTTCGGTGACTCATACCAGTCCATTGTCCATCTTTATGCTAAACGTCCATCACAGGAAATCAAGGACGTTGTGAAAGGTACAGTTGGTTTTGTCAGCCGATCAAACCTCAAAGCCTTGGTGCCAGTTATGGACGAATCGATGGTAGACTGGTACTACCAGAGTTCCGTTCTCTTCACAAGTTACAAGAATGCTTGTTGGGTTAGCGCCTCAGCCAACTCTAAAAATGGCGAGGCTGAAGATGTGGGCAAGCGTCCAAGGAAAAAGTACGGCCGTGTTTTAAAAGCGTCTGTCGATGGCTTGTGGGATGTTATCCACGAGAGGTTTGACGAAGGCGTCGATTTCATTCTTGACTCGATCGAGGACTTCTCTGAGTCTGAGTCTAACTAGGATTAGTGTACTATCTATGTATTATGGGACCACACCAATGGCCACGAATCGAACGCATACTAATACAGTTAATTTAGACGTAGCTTGGGAACCTTTTGGCAAACGATTTCTCAAGATCCTCAACATCTGGCATTG